ACGACGCCTTGCGACTTCCTTGCTTCATCACCACATCTTCTCTCCCTATCAACACACTCACACTACATCCGCCAGCATGACCGGACGACAAGCTGTGAAAACCCTTTCGCGCACCGCACTCTCCGGCGGCTCGGCAGTTCGCCGATTCGCCTCGACGTCGGCAGCCAAGACGGCACGCACGCCGCCGCATCTCCTGACATTGGCCGAGCTCTCGCCTGCCCAGATCAGCTCGGTGCTCAAGTCGGCGATCGAGTTCAAGCAGGCGTTCCGAAGCACCTCGCTTGCGCTTCCTGCGGCGTCGCGCAAGCAGCTCAGCGCAGGCGAGTCTCCCATTCCGCAAAGCCTGAAGAATAAGTCGGTGGCCATCATCTTCAGCAAGCGCAGCACGCGTACTCGTGTTGCGTCCGAGACGAGTGTCGCATCGCTCGGTGGCTCGGCACTCTTCTTGGCGCCTTCGGACATCCAGCTCGGCGTGAACGAGAGCCTGTACGATACAGCCAAGGTGGTCAGCTCGATGGTGGATGGCATCATGGCGCGTGTGGCGGGTCACGACGAGGTGGAGCTGCTGGCAAAGCACTCGACGGTGCCGGTGATCAATGCGCTCTCGGCGCGCTACCACCCCACGCAGATCCTCGCAGATCTGCAGGCGATGCTCGAGGTGTACGCGCCTTCGGCAACGCCCGGCGACCTCACTGGCCTCGCGGGCCTCAAGGTGGCTTGGGTGGGCGACAGCAACAACATCCTCAACGACATGCTCGTGGCCTATCCGCGTCTGGGCATCAACCTCTCGGTGGCCACGCCCAAGGGCGCCGCGTACCAGCGCGACGAGCTCGTGTGGGGCACGATGCAGGACGGCCTCTCGGCACTCAGCAAGTCGGGCTTGTCGCCCGTTGCGCTTGGCCAGGTCAACTGGACCAACGACCCAGCCGAGGCGGTACGTGATGCGGACATCATCGTCACCGACACGTGGATCAGCATGGGCGACGAGGCGCAGAAGGAGCAGCGCCTGCGCGACTTCAATGGCTTCCAGGTGACTGAGGCCATGGCCAAGGCGGGCGGCGCCAAGCCCGACTGGAAGTTCATGCACTGCCTGCCGCGCAAGGGCGACGAGGTGGACGACGAGGTCTTCTACTCGGACCGCTCCATCGTCTTCCCCGAGGCCGAGAACCGAAAGTGGACCATCATGAGCTTGTTTGACCGCATGTACGGCCGTTGGGAGCTGTGAGGCAGCCAGTGAATCCATTTGCATTTTCATCATACAGGCTGAGCTGTGAGTCGGAAGGTCGTCTTGCTTGAGAAGAGCTGGCGAGAACGTGGCGAGGGAGAGCCGTGGGATGCGGCGTCGGAATTTTGCCGAACGATTCGGCGTGTTTCCGACGGGCGCATGCCCTGCGACTTTGCGCTCGATACCCGTTTTGACTCCTCTGCGGGGCATTCTCAGCATTGGCTATGGCGTCGATAGTCTGCCTGCGAGGTCGTGGTTGAGGAGTGCTGTCGGAGCGTTGGTTGATGAAGTGGGTGACAGACATTTGTTGACAATTGCAGCGCGACTTCACCGCGGACAACTGCATGTCCGTGCGCGATATAACGCGCGTCTGTTGCGGGCTCACCCCGCATCTTCTGTATCCATCACATTCACTCGAAGGCGCTCAAGATGGACTATACATCACTGCTGTCTGATACGGCACGCAACCGGATGCCTTCGGCGATCCGCTCGCTGTTCCCCGCCGAACTCATCCCTGGCATGGTGTCGCTGCTGTCGGGCAAGCCGAATTCGGACACCTTCCCCTTCCAGCGCATCGTGCTTGAGCTCAAGCCGGCGCAGCCCGACGCAGCACCAGAACAGATTGCGATCGAGGGTAACGATCTGGATGTCGCGCTGCAGTACTCGGCCACGAGCGGAATCCCCAAGCTCGTCGAGTGGATCCAGACGTTCCAGAGCAAGATCCATGCCCGGCCGCTGGTGGCCACCGACCAGGGCGCCGGTAAGGTGTGGAGGTGCTCGTTTGGCAACGGAAGCCAGGATCTGCTCACAAAGACGTTCGAAGCGCTCGTCAATCCGGGAGACTCGGTGGTCTTAGAAAGCCCTGCTTATTCGTAAGTTCTCCAACCAATTCCCAAAGTACACGATACAGTTGGCTGACGGTGTTGCATGTGCAGGGGGATTCTGCCGAGCCTGGTTGCGCACAAGGCACGCATGTTTGAAGCAGCCACCGACTCGGAAGGTGTTGAGCCGCATGCGCTTGATGAGCTGCTTTCCAACTGGACTACTGCCACCCATACGCGCGGCGCCCCCTTTCCCAAGTTCCTGTATACGACCCCGACAGGTGCGAATCCATCGGGCACGAGCGCCTCGGACGAACGCAAGCGCGCCGTGCTCGGCGTCATCCGCAAACACAACCTGCTGCTGCTCGAAGACGACCCGTACTACTTTCTCAGCTTTGCAGGACTGAGTGCGGATGCCGACCCCGTAACGCGGGCGAGGGGAAAAAGCTACTTTCGCCTCGAACTCGAAGACGGCAACGACGTCGGGAGGGTGTTGCGCTTCGACAGCTTCAGCAAGATCCTCAGTGCCGGTCTGAGGTTGGGCTTCATCACGGGCCCGAGGGAGCTGTTGGATGCGATCGATCTCGACACGAGCAGTCGCAATCTGCAGACGTCCGGTACGAGTCAGGCCATCGCATATGCGCTGCTCAGCAAGTGGGGCATCGACGGTTTCCTGCACCATGCCGACTCGGTCGCGCGCTTCTACCAGGTACGCAATCTCCCCTTGACCCTACCTTTTACATTTCCATTCGCTGACCAGGTCTCATCTTCTGCTGGGTGTAGGATCGACTGGAACGATTCGAGGCATCGGCGAACAGCATTCTGCGTGCGTCTCCCTCGGTTGCCGACTGGGTGCGTCCGACGGCAGGCATGTTCCTCTGGATCCGTCTCAAGCTTCCGGCCTCTGGCCAAGGCGCTGCCGAGGGCGATTCGTACGATCTGATCAGCAACAAGGCCAAGGCCGCCGGCGTGCTCGCGCTGCCGGGAATCGCATTCAAGCCGCCCACCGACACACGCACGCCCAGCGCGTATGTGCGCACGAGCTTCAGCCAGGTCCCCCTCGACCAGATCGACACCGCCTTCCAGCGTCTGCGCAGCGTCGTCGAACAGGCATGGCACGACGCCGGCCTCGCCATCCCTGCCTAGGGTCATGCACTCGGAACATGCTGCCAAAGATAATAGCGTCATTTACACATAGAAGCGTCTCCCACGCGCACGGTTGCTGCGGGACGACGTGCAGAGAAGAGTGCGGGTTTCCTTATATGAGCACGTGGCGCGAGAGTGAAATCAACCGCGCGACTGACGGTAGTCGCTCTCGACCGAGGTGGCAAGCTGCGCCAGCTCCTGCTGCACCGACGAGAGCAGCTCGGCCGCAGCAGCGTGGTACTCGGCTTGACTGCAGGAATCAAGGGAAGAAGAGGGAAAATGTCAGTGAGAAGCGCTGCGTGAAAAGGCAATGTGGGGCCGGGTACGTACGCCTTGACGAAAGCGCTGAGGCTCTTGATGGGCTCTGGGTTCTCGAGCACCTGCTTCATGAGGCTGATGGCCTCCTCGGTGGAGGCGACGAGCTTGTCCTCGGCCTGCTCGACGTCGTTGCGGTACTGCTCGAGCTTTGCGGAAGCGCCGGCGTTTTCGGCGGTCTTGAGCGACTGCTTCCAGCTGTCGAGGTGGAGGCGTGCGTCGGTGACGTTCTGGCGCGCCTTCATGGCGAGCGCGATCTGGGCGCCAAACGAGTTGAAGGGCACGTTGAAGCCCTGCGTGATCTGGTCGTCCTGTGTCAAGCGCGCGTTGCCCAGACGGTCCTCTGCGATGGCAAACTTCTGGAGCGCCTCGCCGAGCTTCGAGTCGTCCTGGACGGGCGCCGCCGAGCCGGGTGCCTGCGCCGTCTCGAGGTTGGGCAGGCCAGACAGGTTGGAGGCGTCGGCGCCGAGCTGGAGCGCACCGCTGGCGGCGGCGCGCGAGAGGGCGTGGTGGAGCGTCTTGTTGACCTTCTGCGGGCGCGCGGTGGGCGAGACCTTGGGCAGATTGGTGCCGCGCGTGGCACTGGCAGCCCACGAGGTGACGCTGTGTCCGACGCTGGCCGAGAGCTGGGTGATGCTCTCCTGAAGCTGGGTCTGTCGACGCGAGATCAGAGATGTTGTCAGCAGATCTTCTAACTATTGCTGCGTGCGTGGGCCTCGGTAGCGATACTTACTGGGTAGTCGTAGCTCTCGGTCTCGTAGACCTTGGCGACCTTCATGAGGCCGGTGTGGGCGGCCTTGAGCGCATCGACGCGGCGTTCGAGGTCCTTGTACTCCTGGGGCAGCTCGGTGATGTCCTCCTGGTCGACGGCGCCGAAGCGCTCGCGGGCCTGCTGGTTGAGGTTGCCGAAGGTCTTGCCAATGTTTTGGAACTGAGGTCCGACATTGCTGGTGAACTTCTTCCACTGGTCCATCTTGATTTGTGATGCTTAGTTTGTGCTGTGGCAGTCGAGACGGGTGGTGGTGGTGGTGGAAATGGGATGGGCGCAAGTGAGAGCGATTGAGAATGAAATGTGCCTGGCTGAGCGGCGGGTGTTGCTTTCAGCCTCCATCTACGCTAATTTCACTGCTGTCGGCGCTGCGCTGCTCCTGGCTGTGCCAAATTGGGATTGGACGTGCCGGGTGTGATGCGCTGTGCTGTGCAGATGCTTTGCAGATGCTTTGCAGACGCTGTGCGGTGATGCAGTGCGTTCGCGTTCCACTCTCCCGACGCGCACCGCACCGCACCCTCTTTCCAATCCACATTTGGCTCGGGCGAATGCACAGGCCAGCTGCAGTTGGGCCCAAAGAAAAGTGCAACGGTGTTAGAGTGTGTGAGCACCCCACTTTTGGCTGCGCCGCGAGGGTCCGCAGCTGAGCTTTATCCAACACCATCAGCCTGCCACCGTTCTCGCCAACTCACAGCAGCATAGCACCAGCTGCAACCTCGTAGCCATGGCTTCACCCGAGTACACGCTTCCTGCGTACTACAGAGACGGTGTGGTGACCTTCCCCGCGTACGTCTCGTTGCCACCATCGGCTCGCCCTGACTTGCAAGCGTGCCTGGCTGCCCATCAAACACCATCGGTCAAATGCATAACTCTATCTGCCGACATCAGATCGCCTCGATCGCAATCGTGGAACACGCCGACATACAAGCAACAAATCGCACTCAGGTGGGGCATCTCGGTCGACCGCATTCGCGCACTCAGCATCTCTATTGATGATCAATTCGTCCTCATCGAGGACCACGACGACTGGCACGATTGGGCCCGCGCCACCTTCGCCTGGATAGGCAGGGCTAATCACAGGCACGATCCCGACGCTCCCAAAACTGTCGAACCAATCCATATCAAGGTCTTGATCGACACGCCAGCGCAAGTGCAACTGTCGACGCCGCGGCCCTCGCAATCTGTCAGTCGGGCGTCGCCAACAGCCACTTCATCCACTAGCACTTCAGCGGCTGGCGCTCAGCATGGCGACGTTGCAAGTTCTGCTGGAACACCCTCTCAGCATACAGATGAGCTGACTCTTATGCGCTCAACGTCACCTGCGCTCTCGTCGTCTCACAGCGTATCCCTCCCGTCGATGCCCTCAGCGCCGCGCCCCCAGACGGACACTGCCAGCACGCCAGCCCCGCAGCAACAGACTTTCAATGCCGCTTCGACATCGGCTGCCGCGTTGGCGAACGATATCGCCGGATCTGTCCTTCAAGCACTTCAGCCTGTCTCGCGCGATCTGCCCGTCGTCCTGTCCAGCCTCATCCTGTCGGCCATCCCGCAGGCACTCAACTCGATTCACAGCGTCAGTGGTGGCATCCATCCTGCACAAGGCACGCAGTCCGCGCAAGCATCCCCGGCTCCATCCCCGTCAGCCGCCTCCAGCTCCACCGCTCCTCCTGCGCCGACACGGCCTGTCGACACGACTTTGCAGGAGGAGGATGCAACAAGCGTCAGCGCCCCAGCGCAGCAGAGACAGTCGCTGATCGAAGGCATGTTGGACGAGCTCGCTCGTGTGCGTGCACAGCCAGCACCCAACGCAGCCTCGCAGGCGACGCCTTCGCCCTCCGATGCTGCACAAGAGCCCGCCGCCGAATCCACGATGAGCGCCGAGCTCGGGCACGCGTTCGCCGAGATGCTGTCGCAGCCCGATGCCGGCGCCCTCGCCCAACCTGAGCGACAGGCCACAGACGATGATGAGACGTTCTCGATCGTATCTACACCTGTCTCGAGGGGCAACGCAGCACGCTCACGATCCCGCTCCCGCTCTCGCTCACGGTCTCCGCGCCTTGGCGTCTCGGGGGTGATGTTGACACTGCTCACGCTGTTCACTTTCCTCATTGGGCTGGTTGTGCCTGTATCCGGTAACGCGCTGAACCCGCACGCGCCCATGCTTGCACGCGACACTCCAGTGGTTGGACGACAGACGCGTCAGCTGCATCTGTGCAAGTGTACGTGTTTTCAGACCAACTCTACGCTCGTCCCGCTCTATGCACCTGCCGACCCTGCCAAGCCGTGCGCCACATGTACGCGCCAATTCTGCCTCGACCAAAGCCTGGACATCTGCAAGGGCGCAAAGCTCGAGCATACCGACCACGATGTGGGCACAGGCTTCGAGGGCGATGTTTGGGCAAAGTGCTTCGAGAGAGATAGCTACAAAGACCAGTCCATCATCACGCTCTATTTGCTCGTGCTTGTTGCCCTCGTCGCGTTCGCAGCTCTAAGGACTAGGATGGAGGGTTGGTATCACGACTACCAGAGGTTGGGTCCGCAGGGTATCTATGATGCCGTACGTCAGTCGCCATGGCGCACATCCGCACATTGATCCCCCACCTGCATTCGCACTTTCGCATTCAATCTCATACCTGCACTCATCGAACATGATCACTGGAAACGCGACTCTATTTCGCTTGCTGCCATTCGAGGCTGTCTATGTTTGAGTCACATCGTACGCCGAGGTCACTTGGGTCCAGCAAGGAGCTTGTTGATCTCGCTGTCGTAGCCACCGATCATCTCGAGCACGGCATGGACTCTGTGAAACCACTGGTTCTCGACAAAGTACCCGGCGATTCCGTCGGGCGTGCATGCCTTTCGATGGCACGACTGCGCATGCTTCCACCAGTAGATCTCGGCGACCTTGAGGTCGGTCTGCTTGGGACCCTGCATATCAATCCACAGCTCGCAGCCGTGGCAGTGGCCCTGGATCAGCTGCTTGCGCTCCTTGGGCTTCGCATGCGGCTGCGCCCGAACCCGGAACTCGGCAGGCGGCGTAAACGGCAACCCCGTCAGCGCAGACACGCCGTGAAAGTTCTGCAAGTGGTAATTGTAAGCTGAACAAACCAGACATCAATATCGCCGTCAGCGGAGGGTCGAATAGCTAGGGCGACAGTGCAAGACGGCTTACCTGAAAACTTGGTCTTGAAGAATCGCACCTGGCCTTCCTCGTAGCTGACGTCCGAACTCGAAAAGTCAGCCTTCGTCCGCTCGCCAAAACCAAGCCCTCGAGGTCACTCTGAGAGGGCTTTCTACTAACCAAACTGGGCACATGCCGACTTTGTCCACGCCCACGCCTTTGACAAAGCGAGGCGTGTACAGATCCAAGATCGATCGTGGCTTGTTGAAGGCGCCGTGCACGCTCTGCGCTCGATCGACCGTATCGCGCAGTTCATCGTCATAGCTATGGACCAGAAGCCCAGAGAAATCATAAGTCAGTGTGGTCATTGAGGCTTCACCGCCACCGCAGAGCGAAACTTACTCGGCATCTCCAAGACCTCGCACGAGCATCTCTAACACCTCGGGACTGACGGAAGAGGGGACCAAATACCGCTGGTACAGCAATGGAAATCCCGAATGAATCTCCCAGCCTGCAGGTAAAACTCGCTGACCCTTGTCGACAAACGTTGCCGGCTTGACATCCTCAGTCTCTTCCAGGTCGGCAAACACCATCTCTGGCATCTCGTCCGCTTCCGACTTGTGAGCCAGACCTGCTGATTCTCCCGCAGCAATCCCGTTCTTGTCAGCGAGTTCCAGCGGGGGCTCTGGAGTGACTGCTTTTCGCCAATCCCGTGCGTCTTGAGAAGCGTCTTCGAAGAATCCAGCGCGCCTCTCTCGAGGAGGCGTGAGCAGGGCTGCCAGACTGCGTCGAGGCACTTCGTCCTTCTTTCGCAGCTTGAACTTTCCCGAGGGCGTAGACGGCGACGATACACCACTCGCGCCGGACCCAGGACTGTCCGACGCCATCGCAGGCGACTGTCGTTCGCTGACGTCCGCAACTCGAGTGTTCGCTGCAGCCTTAGAAGACGAAGCGGCTGTCTGGCTTCTGGCAGCTTTGTTCTTCGCCGGTGCCGAGTAGAGACTCGCTTTGTTCGAGGTGCAGTAGTCCGTCAGCCTCTTCGGGCTGCTCCTTCTACGCTTCTTGCCCGACGACCTTTTATCCGCCACGCTGGTGCTAGCGGCCATAGGCTGAAGTTCAGCGGGCGCGTATCTCGAGGATTCAGCGGTCGCGTCTGCCTCGCAGGGCAAGTCGAGCTCGATCGGTGTGTCGCCGTGCTTCGCCGTCCTTTCCAGCATCCCTCCACCTAGAGCGGAGCAGCTTTCGACGAAAGGAAACGATGCTTCAGCAGGAGCAAAAGTTGTCGCCGTGGATCCGCTTGCGTCGCCCAATTCGGTCGACCAGAACGATAGCTCTGCGGTATAGCTCTCGTCAGGCTCGCCTTCTGCGTCTTCATCGCATGAGGAATATTGGGTGTCAGCTGGGGCCGAACGGAGATTCTGTGTCGGGCTGATGATGCTCTGTCCAAAAGAAGCCACGGACTGAGATCCGAGAGCCTTAGCAGGATCGATGTAGTTGTACGGAGCGACGCACTCGGAAGTGGCCTTGAGGTCGGTGGAACGGAATGCCTGAGAAAGAACCGGGGCGTTGCAGGATGCGTCGGCGACGGGATCTTGGGAGAAGTGCGGGAAGCTGGTGTCGAAGCCTGTTCCACTCATTTGCGGAGCTTCGCTTTGCAGGAGGAGTCGAGAGGAACGAGCAAGCTGGCTGAAACCCTCCAGATGAGGATTGAAGCAGCGGCAAGATGGTCAAAGTGGCAACGTCTGGAGCAAGTCGTCAGAGAAGGGAGCAGAGCTTTGAAGCGTGATGGTGAGCGAGATGTTGAGCAAGCAGCGGACAGCACCCGACTTGGGTAGATGGGCGAGCTCGAACGATTGTATTTGTATTGCGAGCAGATTCAGCCGACGTTTCCGATGTAGCCCAGCGCCAGACCGCACGAGGTCACAGAGCCTGCAACGCAGGCCAGCATGCAAGAGCTGCACAAGGCTTCCCCAAGGTTGCACGAGCTAGCTCGTGTCTGTGCTGCTGTCAACTGCGTGTAGCCAAGCTGTCGTGCTTGGTGCGCCTCAAGAAGAAGTCGGAAACGCTCGGATGCGGGCCATCTGCAGATCACCCGCTCGAGGCTCTGCAAATCTGCACCTGCTGCATGGCTTCCGTTGCAACGAAGGCGGGCAGGCAAACACCGCTGCCAGAAGGTTCTGCAACCCTGTCCAAGGTCGGCAGGCATACAGTCGGGGAGTGACGGCCGGTTGGGCGCCGCACCGCCACTGGCGTGGGACAGGGGACTCGAGCAGGGCTGCCACCTCGACGAGGCCGGCCGTGGTCGCTTGTCCCGGCTCGAGGGCGCACCAAGCAAGAGCCCACTCGCCGATCCAGCCGCCCTTGGCGTGTTTGGGGGCCTGCGTTGTGCCCCTCTTTGGCTCGATAAGGCGCACATTCTAGAATCTCTCGACTAGCTCGGACTGCCTGGCCTTGATCTACACACACGACAGATGACCTCGAATGTATGGTCGTTGGTCGAGCAAGACTGGAGCGAAGGGTGACGAGCGCGGCGCTTGCCCAGGATCAAGAGGGCGCTCCTGGAGCTGGTCGGTTCTGGTTGCGTTCGCTGAATGCGCCTGATCGGTCTTGTCGAGTAGGCGATTGATTGAACGCCGAACATCTTGCAGGCATGGGTGTTACTGGCTAGTGCCTGCACTCAGTGCAGGGAAGCCTTTCGGCGTCCCAGCGGGGCCTCCATTCGAACTGGGCAATTGCACGTTGTGGGAGACGCCTCTCTGCCTCGAGGCTGGCGGCGCTGTCGCGTCGCTTACCGTCGCTGTAAGTGAGCAACCAACGCCAGAGGAGGGTGTGGCTTGCCGAATGACTAGAGGAATCGCAGGTTTGCGTGCGCGAGGAGAGGGAGAGGGAGAGGGCAGGAACGAAGGGAGGCGACGCGGACACTCAACGGAAGAGGGACCTAAGAGGAGCAGCTGGCAAGGAAGCGTGACGGCGGCGTGATGGCCACTCGGACTGCATTCGAATCACACAGCTCACGACACTGGGCAAAGGCTCGATTTCGCGGCGACTCTGGCTGCGTGGTGCTGATTCATTCACGCTCCTGAAGAGCCTTTTTTTTCCTGGCGCGTCGCCAAGTCGACGCGGCCAGGATGGCGAGGGGAGGAACGAACGTGATGGACGGCAGGGCCGACTGCACATCTCGTAAAGTCACAGATCCCGTCGCGCGCGTTGCCATGCTTGCGCAAGATGAGGCGTCTGTTCGGACAGGAGCCCGACATTCGACCCACACTGCCAGCCTTCGCTGGATCTTCGAGCCTCGAGTTTCCGGTGTCCAGCCTGGGCTCCGTCATTGCTTGCGTGGCTGCGCATACACTGCATGCTGAACCTGCACTGCAACACAAACGGCACTACTGAGAGGGGTGCACGCACTTGCAGGCGCAGTAGCACGGGAAGAGGTGCGTGGACAACGCGATGGAGCACACACAGTCCCGACGGCTTTCATGCCGCTGCAGGAAGCCCTCTTGCCCCGCGAAAGAGGGAGAGAGCGAGAGAGACCGTTCACACACGCTCAAATCATTCGCTCTGACCGCCATGCGAGACGCATTGGCTAGCGTTGCGTTGCGAACACTCGATTGCATTGCCCATGACGATCAAAAGAGGACGAGCTTGGTTGGCGAGGCGGAACGCTTAAGGGCGGCCATGACAGCATCGAGCGCGAGCAGCTTCATGAGCTCGTCCCTCGTTTCAAAAGTGTCAAAGACGTTGCGCTGCTTGGCGTCGACCCAAGTCTGGTCAATGACGAGCGCCTGGAGCGAGTCGAGATGCAGGCTTCCCGATGCGATGAGCGCCGCGACGCGCTGCGGTGTGCCGGCTGCCAGCGGCGTCGTGTGCTCGCGCAGCCAGGCCTCGTGCTCCTTGAGCTTGAAGTGGCGCGCAAACAGCTTGGCGACGGAAAAGCCGCCTAGGAGCGCCTTGCTATCCTTCCTTCCCGACTTGGCGTCGGCGTCGTCCTTCTGCGCCTTGTTGGAGCCATTGGCCATTTTGCGCTTCTTTGCGGGGCCTGTCGATCGATCGTCTGAATCGGGCAGCTGAGGACCCAAGGATCGAAGGCCACGTGCCAGGTCGGCTGCACGCAGAGCGTTTCCCGTCAAGATGACGAGCGCTGGATGGCCTGGCTTGGAAACGCTTGGATGCTGGCTGTCGACAATGTTCTTGGCTATCGACGGCATGCACTTGCGAACAAAGTCGGCGAGCGTGTCTACGGTGCGAGGCTTGTCGAATGCATTCGTGTCCAAAAGCATCGACTCGCGAAGGCGAAGCTCTTCCAGTTCCAGCTCGCTCAGCTTGGCAAACGAGGCGCTCTGCTTGGAGGTGAGGTAGTCGGCTTGCAGGTCGGACGGTTGGGTGGCCACCGAGCCCACTCCTTGCACGAGCTCTGCCGAGACTGCAGCACGCTGTTGTTTCCATCAAACATGGACAGAAGGCGCAAGCGAAGGTGTTAGTGGTGAGATGGTCAATCTCGGCTCTGTGGCACGGCAACCTACCTTCTGCTTGCGAGCCTTTTCCTTCTCCTTGCGCTTTCGCTTCTTGTCGAGCTTGCGCGCCGCTTCATCTTTGCTCTCCTGCTGTGTTGATGTCGGAGCTGGCGCAGCATCCTCGGATGCTTCGTTCGAGAGCACGGGCTCGTCTTGGACGCTGACAGCCCCGTCATCGGAGCCTACAACCGAAACTGCATCTTGCTCGTCCAAGAGATAGTTCTCTTCCAATGTGTCGGCCATGTTCGAGGCCAGCGAGTCTATGTAAAGAAGCGGATGGTGGTTGCGAGGTCGTTACGGGCTGGCAAAGTTTCCTGCGTGGCGGAGGGCAGAACGAGTTGTGGAGGAGTCGGCACTTTTTGCGTCAGGAAGAACCCTCGAGCCAAAATTTGTGGTGATTTCTCGGAAGTCGGCCAAGAGACTCAACCTCAACTTGCAACTGCAGCCGCGTCTGCATCCTGGACCCTGACCATCATCACCCACAACCCAACCGTCCTCTGACAGCATCCACCAACCACGAACAGCCACGAAGAGGCTCCTCATTCGTCTGCTGCAACTATAGCAGCCGACCCGAATCGCTGCTACCCCTGTGCGTGGCGTTTCAGCGCAATTACCTGCAAGGATCTGGCCCGGGCATCTCTTTCGAACCTTGCCAGCTGCGGTGGCATTGCGTCCTGCAGTGCCTTTCACGATGATGTACATCGAAGACTCCGCTGAGATCGCTGCGATCGCGACCGAGTTCATCTCAAGTATGTTCTGGACCGACCCTGCCCGTAGATTGGCGTTGCAGCATTCTGACCCGGATGTGTCTCGTCCCGCATTCTAGACCTTGACAATCTGCCGCAAGAAGTTAGCCATCTCGTCAAGGAGATCGAGCACAAGGATGTCAAGATTCAAGGTGAGTTCATTGTCGAAGCAGGCTTGCTCGCAGCCAGGAAAGATGTGCGCGATCATATGCTGACCGATTTTGGCTTCCATCGGCTCTACAGATCTCATGCCAAAGATCGCAGCCAGGGAAGCTCAACTCAGAGAGCTGCTGCAAAAAAGTGGCAGTGGGCTTGCGAACCCGGCAGGCAATCTTTCGGAGGCGGACCGCGTCAAGGCGGACAAGCTGGCGGAGAAGATTCGAACCGACTATGGACGTGCGGACGAGTGGGGTTCGCAGAAGGAGGCGCTGAGCCTGCGTCTGTGGCGCTCGATCCACGCGCATCACAAGCATCTCAAGGAGGAGATGGCCAAGATCAGCCCGTCGGTGCTGAACAACTATGCGTCGACGGCTTCGATCGGCACGCCGCAAGTGCCATCGCTGTCTGCGCTTCCTGCAGCGCTGGCTGGGCTCAAGAGTCCTGCGGTGGAGCTCGACTCACCACTGGCCGGTCTCAAGCGCAAGGGCAGCCTGCTGTCGCCCGGAGTGGGAACGCTCACGCCCGGTACACCCATGAGTGCCGCCGCGCGCGCTCGAGCTGGCGGTCGCACTACGCCGGGCGAAGGTTCGCCTGCTCCTCCGGAACGGGGGCTTGGGAGCTCGATTCGCGGCGTTGGAGGCGGCCGCAAAGCACGCGGCGGATCGCTGTCGGCGAGTGGGCCTGGCCGATCGGCGTTGTCGCAAAGCACCGAGTTTGGCTCCCTCCCCGGGCTGGAGGGCTTCGAGGGCGAAGGTGGCGAGGGCGAAGAGGGCGAGGAGAAGGACGATACGCCGTACTGCTTCTGCCAGCGCGTGTCGTTCGGCGAGATGATCGGATGCGACAACGCCGAGAACGACCCGGACTGCAAGGAGTGGTTCCACATTGGCTGTGTCGGCGTCACCAAGCCGCTGCCGCAGAAGTGGTACTGCTCGGAATGCCTGGCCAAGCTCAAGAACAAGCGTCGACGTCAGTAATCCGTGGCGTGCCACACCGTTTCCCACTTCCTGTGTTCATCCTGTAACTTTAGTATACCCACGACCTCTGGAAACGCAGGGAGCATTCCGAGCAGAATTGATTACGAGGCAGGCTGGGATGAGGGATCGGCTGTGAACTGATCGGCCCGATCTTGTCTTTTGAGATGGACCGACGTGGGGCCGCGGCATTTGAATTGGCCGCGCAGATTCTATCGAGCGGAGGCGGGCTTCGGATCGGCCGTGGCGGATCTTTTTGGGGAAAGTGCCCACGCTCTTGTGCCTCCATCTCCAAGCAGGAAGCGACCTGTGCCCACGACGACGGGACGCGAAACGAGATGCGATTGGACAGGCGGCCGCAATCCGCCCGAGAGCTGCTAACTTACTGGCCACTCGGAATTGCAGCGTTGGTGAGTCGAGCTCCAATCAGCGCACTGAGCTGCTTCCCGAATCGGATTCGACTGCCAAACGGGGCTCTACTGAGCCGAATCCTAGCTTTGCGCTCGCTGTGATGCCGGCCAGTGGCCAGTGGCCAGCGGGTGCAGGCTCGGTCTTCTCATCGTCGGTGCTTGAAGCTCCCATTTCGCCGCCCAACGGCTCAACGGCCTCTAGAAGAAAGTTTAGCTTCGGCCAAGTGGGCACGAGTGGCCAGCTGCTGCAAAGTTTTTTTTTTTTTTTT